AAGAATTGGATATCAGGACAGAAATATTATTTTTATATTGGAAGTACGAGATTTATTATATTTAATCAGTTTCAATGGAAATGTAGATTTTATGTCGTATGTTGCAGATTAATTTCGATAGGAATCGAATCGAAGATCTCTTTTTCTTGATAGATAAAATTATATAAATTATATAGATAAAATAAAATAAGACCATTATTATAAAATAAAGAAAAAAGAAGAATTGGATAATAATGGAATATTTAAATGGCGTACCGAGAAATATTCGAATTTTACTCACGATATTTATTCCGAATTCGAAAAGTCATTTTTCTAAATTGGAAAAAAAATTCCACTCCGATTTCCATGGAGTAGATACACACATATTCTCCTCGGTAGATTTCACTTGGGAGAAAACGTGGAACGAGTGTAAGTTGAGTTTTTGGCTTAAACTAACTATTGAATTAACGTTTCAGCGTGGGTGGGCGCTTTGAGCGCTGCTGTCTCGCGTGGATCGGCACCCTTGGTAGTTGGCGCGTGTCGTCGAGGAAGTACAAGGCTTACGGCGGTGATCGGGGGTCTCGTGCTGGCATTGGCCTCCCTCTTCACCTCTTTCGCCGCAGAATTGCACCAGGTACTTCTTAGGTGAGCGACACACTCCCTTCTTTTTTCTTTTCTTTTCTTAAAAACTTAAAATCATTATTTCGTATTTCTTTGAATTTATTTGATTTATTAGAACGCTAGAATTATCGAATTTGTAATTAAAATTAGAATTATCGAATTTAAAATTAAAATATTTAACGATGAATAAAATTAAAGTAATATTATAGGAGGAATATCGATATTTTTTCAAGTTTTTTAAGTTTGGTAATTTCTAGCATTTAGTTTAACACGTTGCTTCGCGTTAATAATAAATCAACCCGGAAAAAGTAGATACTTAGAAAAATATTTATAGAATAAATTTGTATAAATTTTGAATTTAATGAATTATTTACACGGTAAATTTGTGAAGAAGGAACTTGAAGTGATCTCTGAAGTTTTTAATTAATTCAAAGTACACAGTTGATTAATTCTATAAGCGTTTGGAAACTTGTTTTCTCGTGAATGAAAGATAATGATAAAGCATGACGATTATCCCTTCTTTTAATTTTAGTCGGAGAAATTGTTTCGAATTTAGTATCGTGCATTTAATTAAAAACTTTCCTCGCGTTTAAATCTCAAAGATAAAATTAATTCGTGGACTTTCTTTCTTTATTTTTTATTTATTTTGTTTCTTTAATTTTTTTTTTTTCCTTCCCTATATCCATTTTAACTTTCAAAGTAAACTCGCAAAAAACTTCTTTCGAACTCCCGCTGAAAATCAGAGATTGCAACGCACGCTTGCATAGAATTAATAATTCATCCGAAACGCAACAAATCCTAGCTCGTTTTAAAAATTACAATTCTGCTCCCTTCGTGGATAAATCTCACGAGCCTTTTTTCCCCTACAGTAACACATTCGTTCGTTCAACAATGGAAAAGTCGTGTCGCGAATTAAATTGATTTGTAAATCAATTAATTTTTCTCGAAAATTAATTTATTCACGTTGAATCTTCGATGAATTATTAATCTCAAAACCTCATGAATTTATTCCTCGGAATCTTTGCAGAATAATTCGCGTTTTCTTAAATCTTGATGAATTAGTTCGCGTTTCCATGAAATTCTGGCAAATTCGTTCTTCCAATTTCTTCAAGTCCTCCTCGAAATTTTTTCAACTCCTGTTTTGAAATTTTTAAAAAATACTTTTTAACGTAACGAATTTAATTATTATTTTTCTTTTTTTTACGCGATATTTTTGTACGCGCAAGTACAACGAAGGTAGAAGAGAGGCTTTCATTTAAAATTCAAATTAAAAGTAATACGAATTAACGCCGCGACACTCGTTCCTTATTTGAAACGCAAAACTGAGTTTTTCTGGAAGTGAAAAATGGACGGGAGGGAAGAATACGCGGGACCCTTGCGGCTTCCTTGAGATACGACCTTTCGATAGCCCGAATCGAAGTCGATCGGTCTTCGTTGAAAGCTTAGCTACACGAAAAGGAAGAATTAACAGGATTTGGCCCAAGAAATATATGAGACAAATAGCGTTAACAAATAGTGCAATAGCATTAAAGTGGAAAAGGAAAAGGAAAAGAAAAAGGAAAATGTGATGTAATTTATTTTCAGAAGAAAAAAAGAAAGAAAGGAAAAGAAACTTTGCGAAAAGTATTATATTAATTTTTCTCAAAAATTATCAAGAGATCCATTTCCTCTTCATTCCATTCCTTTAATCCACTTCCATAAAAACATTATCGAATTATTAATTTCATACCAAATTATCTCAAACTTTCGCGATTGTTTCTCACCAGACTTGGGCGTGAATCCCTAATTAACAAAAAAAAATAATTAATTAAACATTTCGAATAAAGTTACTTTAACCAATTACTTATTCAAAATAACATTTCAACTCTTGATGACTCTTTGCAACTATACTCATTTCCCGATTATTCGAACGATGAATTTTGTTTAGAACGAGAATCATCGAAGTAACTTTATTCTTAACTTTAACTGTTAAATTCCGCCATCTATTCACACAACATCTCTCGATCCTCTCGCAAGGAACAGGAGCGAATTTGCCGATTTCGAGGAAACAGCCCGCATCCCGTAAATCCGCCTCAAACTTGGTCCGGATTCGCGTATTCCTCTGTCTGCACACCTCCGCTCTCCCTCTCTCCCTGTTCACGAATCGTCAAGCTATTCCCAGTACTGCGATAGCACGAATTGGAACGATTCACCGGTTGCAAAATGTAACAGCTACGGCGTGGTGTTGGGCACCGGGGCTGGCCTCGTGAGAGAAACTGCCGGTCTGGTGCTGGGCCATTACTTCAGAAAACGGCGAGAGTTCGTCGAGATGGTCGTGCAAGCTGGCGCGGGGGTGGGGATCGTGCTCTTCAGCGTCTTCTACAGGGAGGCAGTCGGGTAAGTTATATATCGGTTGTATTTCCTCCGCCAGATAGGAATATTCGTCGAATAACTCGTTGGAACGATGACGTGGGAATAGAATATTAAATGGTGTTTTCGCGGTGAGATTTCAATTTTAATTTGATGCGAATTCCTTGGAGGAGGAGGAGGAGGAGGAGGAGGAGGAGGAG